CTCAAGTGTTATTTTAAACGTCTCTGACTGATATTGTATAAAAACAGTGGAAAGTATTTCCTTTGTTTTTCCACAAACACAAAAATTCATTTTAGACTGAAAGTGTCCTACTCTACCTGCATTCCTTCTGGAAACAAAACTGGACGCATTCCACAATCTTAAAAATGTTAGTGACAGATTAATTATTTGCTATGTGAGATCATAAAACTCTCTGGAACCGCACGACCCAAATGGGGCATGCAGAGCGTGTTGATACCAGTTTAAGTGAGGGTGTAGGTGTGTGTTTATATGTTCTGACCTCAGTTCACCCTGTATATAGCCAGCAGGGTGGCTCACGATGCCGGTTCCCAAAGAAAAGCACAGAATGATGAATGTATACCTGGAATGCAAAGCTGGTCGCTTAAATGAAACGCATCAGCCAAATGAGTGAATGTAAATGCGCCGGGTCTGTGACAAATTCAGTGTGTTGGACAAAATTCAGTAACCCACTGTGTCTTTCAGCATAGATCAAACTTTAGCAGTATATACTGTATTATCTGCCAGATTTGATAGGTTTTGGGATAATACGAAAATATAAAACATGATGAAGAACACTAAAAAGAATTATTCAAAGATGATTTCATGGTTTTCCTTTTTTTCTTTAAGTGATTGTAAACAATTTATTTGGGTTAAGTTGAACATTACTAAGTTTAATTTGTTTGTTTAAATTTAACATATAGATTGTTTGCAACAATTTTGCAGACATAATTTTTTTTTTTTTAGCGAATCTTGGTTCTTTCTTTTCAACCTTTTTGTTCCTGCTTGTTCAAACTACTTATTTAAAATAAGCTCATTCAACACAATTATTGAGTTTTTTTTGTGTGACAACCTAATTATTTATGTTCAATCAACTTAAATGTATACATTTGTTAAGTTAAATGAATTGATTTGTGTTGGGACAACATGATGAAATTGTGTGGAACCCAGCATTTTTTTTACAGTGTATGCTGTAAAAAGTGATTCGTTGCTTAAAGCGGGTAAACCAATTGCCTTAAAAGCAACTAGTTGACTTTACAAAAATAATGTAAGTAAACCCAATGCAACTTGCAACTGTTAAGTTGACTTGATTTTTATAATTATGCTAATTGTACTCACTTTTTAATCAACTAATAGTTTTAGAGTGTCTATTATACTATTTTAGCATGTCTGTTTTTAAATAGTTACTGTATTTATTACAGTATTACATAATTGGTGCTTCATGAAGTCTATAAAATATACAATAGCCTGGAATACAGTACAATAAGCATAATTATAAAAATCAAGTCAACAGTTCAAAGATACAGCGGGTTTACTTACATTATTTTGTTTAAGTCAACTTGTTGCTTTTAAGGCAATTGGTTTACTCGCTTTAAGTAACTAATAACTTTTTACAGTGTACAAAGAGTGGTGGTTAATTCCGCTGCGGTGACCCCTGATTTATAAAGGGACTAAGGCCACAAGAAAATAAACAAATGAACATAGAGCACCTAGCATAAATGCTTACGCAACTTTTTTTCACTTTCAATATTTTGCTGCTTGTTCAAACTGCTCATTTAAAATGAGCTGAAACAATGCAATTCTTGAGATTGTTTTAAGACACGTTATTTGTTTTATGTTAAATACACTTACAACCCTGAAATTTTGTACAGTGTTGAAAATTAAGATTTTTATAGACCATTTCAATGTGGTAATGTCATTGGCCCATGAACATTTCCTACTTGTTATCAACCTATTTCATAACTGTAACAAGAGGCAATTCAATAATAACTTATAGTTAAAACAGCTGTCATGATATTACTTATCAATATTTGGCTCTTTTTAGATTCTTGGACGCTATAGAAATTAAAAATGTACAACAGGAAATATGTTGGGACTATTGTTTTTGTTTACATCCCTCAAAATGGTCTGTAAATATTCGTTGAATATAGATATTTGTATAGCTGCATTTTTATTAAGCTGTTTTATTAAACATTTCAATTCATTAACATGAGAGTGTAGTCACTGAACATCTTTAGGATAAGAAAAAATAAATATATTTAATAAAAAAATGACATGTGCAAAAATTATTATGCCTGACAACAACAATGTAAATAAAAAAATGCTGGGTTCCACGCAATTGGGAATAAGTTTTACTAACACAAATCAATTAAGTTAATTTAATGATTTGTACAAATTTAAGTGCCTTGAACATAAAACAATTAAGTTCTCTTTAAGAACTTAAGAATTGTGTTGTTTCTACTCATTTTAAATAAGTTGTTTGATCAAGCAGCAAAAGTCTTTTTTATAGAGAAATTAAACTATTTCCTCGTAATTATTCTGTAACAGTGGTGCAGTGGGTAGCACAAATGCTTCACAGCAAGAAGGTCGCAGGTTCGAGCCTCAGCTGGGTCAGCTGGCATTTCTGTGTGCAGTTTGTATGTTCTCCCTGCGCGTGGGTTTCTTCTGGGTGATCCGGTTTCCCCCACAAGTCCAAAGACATGGTACAGCTGAATTGGGTATGCTAAATTGTCCATAATGTATGTGTGTGAATGAGTGTGTATGGGTGTTTCCCAGTGATGGGTTGCAGCTGCGTAAAACATATGCTGGATAAGTTGGCGGTTCATTCCGCTGTGCCGACCCCAAATTAATAAAGGGACTAAGCCGAAAAAAAAATGAATGAATGAATATTCTGTTCTTTTAAGCATTTGTGTTTTGTGAATGATCAGTCTTTGTGGGGCACTTGAATATGTCTGTGATATTCTAAAGATGCGATAATCTGGAAATCAGCAATTTGAAAAAAAACTGCTTCTCTTCATTTAGACAACCTGCTGTCAAAGGCTTTCATTTACTTCAGTTTGGCTCAAGTTTGTGAAAACTAGAAATTTAGCCTGCCAGTTGGACAGATAATTAATATTATGCGGCTAACTTGATTTTTTTCTATGAATTATTCTTTTATTGAATGTCCAAACCCAATAGATTGTACTCATATTTTTGTTACAATACACCAAATCTTGCCTTTGGTGCTAACCAATCTTATGTAAAACAAAAAAGAAAATGCATTACTGTATTAAGTATTAATTTAAAAGGTGAGGTGCTTTTCTAAGAAATGAGGCAAGGTGTACTCATTTTTGCTTTACTCATTCTTTAAATGTAGATTGTGTGTGAAATTTAAAAAAATTGATTCTTTTATTTAAAACAACTGGCTTCTTTAGCTGTCATTTTTTATGTTAAATAAATAATAAAACTACACTATATCCATTCAAGAGTCACTTAACTTATAAGTGTTACAAATATAATGAAGTTAGATTAAGACAAATGATTAGAGAAAAAAATAGAGGCAAACTGTCAATATGTTTTTAAATGTCTTAATCTTTTTCTGTAGTTTCCTGTCAAAGTTTAGAGGTTTCATTCATTTGTACTTTTGGCAAAAATGAAAATGAGCTTGTAATTCACTCATCATCAGGCTATTCAAGATGTGACTTTTTCCCCATTAAGTAGAAGATATATAGAGTAATAAAAAATTATATTGTGTCCAAGTGAGTGTACATATTGTTGGGAAAAGTTACTTTTAAATGTAACCTATTACAATCTTGTCTTACTTCTTTAAAAAATGTGTTAGCCTACTGTTTAAGGAAAGTATAATGCATTATGTTTTTGTAACCTTTTTTTTATCTGGCCTGAGCTTGCTTCTTTGTAATAATATGAAAAAAGGATGTGAGTCAACACATAGGAAAACAAAGCAACTGGCATTACTTTTTTTTTTTTTTAAAGAAACTCAGATATTTACTTGGAAATTAAGAAGTACTTAACTAGTTACTTAAATAAAAAAATAAAATAAATAATCTCCTCGAGTTGGGCTACTTTGAATAGGCTATATTTGTCATTATGCAACAGGATGTTGACAGACCCATGACTGTTTGCTGAAACAACATAAACCATGTGTGAATGAAGCACCGTCTTCATTCAATGAATCAAAGAGAACAAAACTTTCACTTCGTAATAAATTAGCAGCAAATATTAAAAAGAAAAATAGAATTTGCTGTAGTATGAATAGCTACTGTGGGCGTTTTTTATTAAATCATAAATTACTTGCACCACAAGATGAAACACAATGAACGTGCGGTGGCTATTGGAGGTGTGATACTTTCCTGTGGAGCACAGCCGATCTAGACAGTTCTGGGAAGCTATATTATCAAACCGCTCTAATGACAGACGTTGACCAAGACATTTTATAATGACCAAAATAACTTTTCAGATGTTGTGCAATGTGGTCGGTCTGCTAGTTTGTCCATTAATGCCATGACAGAAAATCACATTGCTATTGCGATGTGATATATATATATATATATATATATATATATATATATATATATATATATATATATATATATATATATATATATATATATATATAATTATTGTTTCTTGCACAGACAAACATATACTTTTAGACCTCAATGTGTCATGTCTCCCTTTAAATGTTAAATTATGTCTGCTGTTGGTTTATGTTGACACAAAGGTCAGCGTGTGTTCAATGAACTCTAACGTTTTTATTTTTGGCGTGTGTATCCGTACAAACAAACGATGCAAAAGGTTGCCTAGTTATTTAGTAGTAAGCGTACTGACTACTGACTTTCGTGATGTGTCATGTGATGAGCAGCCGCCTATGGGGTTGTTTGTGTGCAGCAAATTAACTTGTACTAAAACAAAGTCTACAGGGCAGCAGTTTGTGTAACTCTTTAAACCAAACTATTCATCCTATTTTGCCAGTCCTCTCGCTTGGGAAAGAAATGGTCTTTGTATGGTAATCTCAATAGAGGAATGACACACACGGTCAGTTTTTCAAAGGGAAGAGCTGGACTATGCGCTCTACATACTAATGTAATCTGCAGACCACAGTCTTCTTCATCTTCATAACTCTTGATCTTGACCAAACCCACGCGCTCATGCAAAGCAGCGTTTTAAAAACACACAGACATGTCGCGCAGGCCGACTTCACTTACTGTACACTTCGAGAAGTTGAGTTTTGTCCCAAACTTCAGTTTTGTCCGACACTTCCGCAGCAGCAAGAGCGAAATTACTGACATAAAGCAGCACATAAAGGACAGAAAGCGCTTCATGGAAGCGAACTTGAAGAGTTTTACTGTATCCTCGCATTTCCACAGGAGACGAGCGCGCTGCACAGACGGCAGCCTGTTTTTTCCACACACTTTCCGCAAGTTTTTGGATTCTCTACGTCACGGTCTCTCTGTGGGGCAGTAAAAAGGCAAAATATTCCCTCTCCGTTTACAGCCCGTCTGTTCTGACCGCGACGCGAACAAATTTGGACGCTGACAGGAAGAAGCGCAGATTCCCGTTGCGTCGCGTCGCACAATGTTTCACAAATCTCTCCTTCATTTAATCGTATACGTACAAAGGTAGCAATAAGTAGGCTATTTATGTTCCTTTACATATAAAGCTTATGTTCAAGTCACTGCAGTATATCTAATGTAAGTCGAGTTTGAACATTCTTGCACAAAGCATTGAAAAGCATTTGAATAGTTCAGAGGAATCTGAAATGATCTTCTAAAATGAGGATTTTTTCACATTCCTATGTGTAGATGGCATAGAGTAGATTTTTTCAAATGATTTTCATTAAATTTAATGTAAGCCAACATAATATAAACATAGGAGGCTGATAAAATGCTCATTTTAAGATAAAAATCTATTTCAGGTTTTTGCATTTAGGATAAATTTCAATTATCAATATAAGCTATAATGATGTTAAATCATCTATTAAATACAGTGTCAAGGTTATATATGTATAAACATATGTTTTACTGAAATGCTGCTCATATTCAGAATCTATAGGACTTTGCCTGTATTCAATGAAATGGTGGATTGAGTTAAATTCTGTCCAAAGCATCTTAAATGCATTTACAGTACACATGATGTCAGATTAAATCTACAGATCATATCACTGCACTAAAAAGGTGCACAGAAGCTGCATCTGAAGTGGCCTATATTCAGCCAACAACGTTAAATCTTGGCCCAAGAAGCAACAAACATGTCAAATCTTCACTGAAAAAAAATCACTGCTCTGCACTCAAAATGCAGCACAGAAGCTACATCTGAGGTGGCTTAATTTCCATGAAGAGGCAAATTCACATCTGAGATAGTTATTAGTCAACCAAAAGAGTCATTTACACTGCTTACATAACTAGATTATAGCAGTAATTACAATTTAAAGGACCCATTAAACAAAGAGATTGTTTTAAATTGTTTTTAAATTCCATGAAAAGGGTACATTTACACCATTTGACAACGTCAATCTAATGTTATGTGGACAGCTTGTGCCTGCTGGTTGTTTAAGGCCATTTTGGTGATATACAGTAAACATCCAGCTTTTACTCATTGGTGACATGCATCTAAACAGTCCCTAGGTCAATGTGTGCAAAATTTTTGGACATCTTAGAGACTTCTAATGGTTAAAAACAGTTTGCTGCAATTATAAAGCGCCCTTTTATGTGCAATTTACCTTCTATGTTCAATTTGATTGGACAGGAATCACAGGACTAATTTTTCTAATCCCCATAGACAAGAAAATCTAGTGACTGCAGGTTGAAAGAAAGTAGTGATGTAAAAGTACTGATACAGCACTAAAAATGTACTCAGGGCAAAGTAAAAGTACACATTTTTAAAAGTATTTTGTAAATTACAGTAGTTTGAGTGTTTGTAATTTGGCACTTCACACCACTGCTTGTAAACCACTGAAAAGTGAACTTACACGGTTTAACTCCGTGTGAAGCTTTATAAATGCTGGCAGCTAGCTCACTGCAATTCTTACAAGGTCACCCACTAAAGCTAAGCAGGGCTGCGCCCGGTCAGTACCTGGATGGGTGACCACATGGGAAAGCCAGGTTGCTGCCAGAAGTGGTGTTAGTGAAGCCAGCAGGAGGTGCGCAACCTGCAGTCTGTGTGGGTCCTAATGCCCCAGTATAGTGATGGGGACTCTATACTGCTCAGTGAGCGCCATCTTTCGGATGAGACATTGAACCAGGGGTCACCAAACTTGTTCCTGGATGGCCGGTGTCCTTCAGATTTTAGCTCCAACTCTAATTAAACACACATGAACAAGCTAATCAAGGCTTTACTGGCTATACTTGAAACATCCTGGCTGGTGTATTGAGGCAAGTTGAAGCAAAACTCTGCAGGGACACCGGCCCTCCTGGACTGAGATTGGTGACCCCTGCATTTAACCGATGTCCTGACTCTCTGTGGTCATTAAAAATCCCAGGATGTCCTTTGAAAAAGAGTAGGGGTTTAACCCTGGCATCCTGGCCAATTCTGCCCACTGGCCTCTGTCCATTATGGCTTCCTAACTCTCCCCATATCATAATTGGCTTCATCACTCTGTCTCCTCTGCACCAATCAGCTGGTGTGTGGTGTGCGGTCTGGTGCAAAAATGGTTGCCGTCGCGTCATAAAGGTGAATGCTGCAGACTGGTGGTGGATGAGGAGATTCCCCTTATGTGTAAAGCTTTTTGAGTGCCCAGAAAAGCACTATTTAAATAAAAGGAATTATTATTAATTAACTAACATTTTACTCTGCCTCCTATATTTACAGTATGTTCTGTTTTCACTTTAAAGGCAATGAAAATAACCTATTCATCACTATAAAGGTGAAAATACTGCACATAAAGCACATAATAATGCACATAAAGGTCCCTGTGAAAAAAGTAGATTTTAGATGAAACTTTCAGATGGCATTTAGAGGGTTTTTCATCTGAACTCTTCGATTGCAGAATTTAATTTAGAAAACATTTGTTGTTTGTTTTAAATATGAACAAATTGAATCCTTGTGCATTTAGAGACAAATAATGAGACTCAACATGAAAAAACCATAAAATATATTACAAAACAAACACAGACACTTTTTTTTACATTTGATCCAGCAAAATCTCACTTAGTCTAGTTAAAAAAGGCTCAGCCTCAACTAATCAATCAGAAACATGTCATGAATGACTACATAGAAAAACATTTGGCTAAAACAACCACAAGAAACACTAAATGTAAAACAAGAAGTTCCAGTGTCGCCCATATTAAACAGTACCTTTAGCACTTTTAGCAGCACAACACAACTTTTAAAATGTACATTTTTAAAAATAAATTCACTGCCACCTTACAAGCACACAAATACAAACACACACATACACATGCACACAGTGTCCTGCTTGTACAGTACAAGAAAATTCATTTAAATAATAAAAAAACAGTATTCGCTCCTAGTTATAGAAGCCTACATTCTGTGTTTTAACACACAAAGTTGGTCAGCGGCCTAAAGAAACATCACTCTTCTGCTGCCCTGTGCTTTTGTAGGTCACATTTTTAAACGTTGACGTCGAGCTCCTGAAAAGAGGATTCGTGCCCTGGAGATACAAGTTGAACACACGATTACTTCAAGTAAATTGAGCCATTAAGAGAGTAACATGAACAGAATGTGCATTATATTACACACTGCCAAACTCTTGCTAATGTTTTCATACCGACTGCCATTTGGCTTTGGCCTTTTCTGCTTCAAACTTGGCAACCTCTTTCCGGTCATGAACAGAAACAAGAAACTTCCAGATCACAAGGAGTGCAATGCCGATGATGAGGACAGACATGCACACACCCAGAGCGATCAGTGGTGCGTTTGGTGGTTCTGAGCAGTCTGGGTAATTATACACACAAACCATGTTAAATATAAACATAACTCTGTTTGAATGTATGATCCCACAACACTCAATTTAAAGCGATAGTTCTAGAAAAACGTAACATTTACCCACCATTATAGGGTTCTAAACCGATTTGAGTTTCTTTTAGCTGTTGAACACTGAGGAATATATGTTGATGAACTGATAACTAGTATCCGTTAAATTTCATAGTAGGAAACGTGACTACTGGTTTTCAACAATCTTCCAAATCTGTATGTGTGTGTGTTCAACAGAAAAACTCAGATAGGTTTGAAACAAAACCCATCATTTTTGGATGAAATACTGGTTTGAAGTGTGTACGTTAATGTATGAAGAAAAAACACATCTCACCGTAAAGCTTGGGGTTGTAAATGATGCTGCCGTGATCGCTGGCTACCAAGCTGAAAGACAGCAGGCAACTCTCCTCGCTTTGTAAGGTGCATGGTGCTGCCCGACTCTCCTCAAAATCTACAAAAGAATGTATTTATTGTAAAATGAGTTAAATTTAATACTAGTAATATTCAAATGTGGTTTCTCAGATGTTGATAAAATGAGCATTATTTGTCCTATCATTCTTATACAAGATTTAAATGTAAGATTTGTACACGAAGAATTAAAAATTTTGTTTATTTGACTGTTTTTAACAACAGCACAGTACAATCGCTGAAATAACACCATAAACAAGTTTCAATTCATATTTAATTAAAAGCACTTTCACGGACCCGTGTTTGGTATTAAGTACTTTTCAGGCCTTGAATCCATATGCCTGAAATTTAAGTACTTTCAAGAAGCGTGGGAACCCTGTGTACATGTTGTCTGTCTGTAGTGTGCCGTTTGGCCGTCTGAACATCCATGATGCAGACAAACAACAAACACAAGGACAAGAAAGTGTGCGTCTAGTCCCCCCTCCCCCCTTCTTATCATATTATCAGTTTATTCAGTTCACCTGTTTTTCTTGATTTGTTCTGCTTTATTCACCTTATTCTCCGCCGACGAGTGGGCGCTGCCATTTGAATCTTTTTGGCTTGAGACTTCCGGTCTCATTCACTTCCATTCATTTTTTGACGATAAAAACTGCTCATTACGCTGCTTGATGTTGCAATTTGATATATTCTTATTATTTTGTTCTACTTGGTCTGTGTAGTCATGCACCCCCTACCCCCTAACCTGACAGTCAGGGCACGTCGACAAGCTGCTTCAACCATTATCACTCTTCTATTAGGCCACGTACTGTATATATCCTCCCTCTCTCTCATACAGTATATAAGCTACTGTGCACCTTCTGGCTGTGTCGTTTGTTTCAGATTACCAAAGCTTCAAGTCCTAGCTGCCATTCTTCACAGAAAGCGACAGCTTAGTCATTCCGCCATGTGACACCTCTGTTCATTAAGATACTGTATTACGCATGTTCCTTATCATTTTACTATTCAGGTTATGGTTCCGGGGGGTTAATGCAGACTCTTTTGTATGTGCAAATAATTATGGAGGGAGAACCCCCATTAGGAACCATACTGTCATGCATAACTGGGCAAAAAACTCAACTTGCTTAAGTGGTCCTGCCAGAAGTAGAGACTCTGTAGCCAAACATTTAGACATAAATGTGTCTAAGTGTGTGTGTTTTATCAGAACCCTGTCAGAGACTACAAATCCTGTCAAACCACAACTGATTATGAA